AAGAGCGAATCAAACTCCAAAAATATAAACATTAAAGAAGTGAATTATAGATGGCAGGAAAAGTGTTAAGATTCTAATAGTCTTAATACTCATATAAGGCTACAATTGATTTCATATGTTACCTTTCTAGGAGTTTGTTTTCTTAGCGTGGATGTCGAAAGTATTCTTTATAGAAAATTTCGACGGCAATCTTCCGTCTGTATATAATCATCCTGTCTGGAGAAATTGATTCTACGGGATATCCAAGAATGAAACATTCTATGTACTTTAGTAAAAAAATTGCACAGTTTGGCTTATGAAAGAAAAAGTCTTATGTTAGATTAAATTATGACCAAAATTATAAAATTAAAGCAAATGGTTTAAATACTCACCCATTATTTGTACAAGGTAGGCAATGTACGATCTCTACTTCCATCCATTTATTTCTATGTTTCCTTATATTTCGGCTGATGGAAAACTCAGAAGACACTAACAAAAATTGGTCGTTATTTAATACTGAATTTGCGTGTGCTATGACCTGTTGTGGTGTATGAAGACTGTAGCTACAATCATATATTTTTAATTTCCATTCGCGAAAATTCACAAGAAAGAGGTACCAATCGTTGCCTAGATAGGAATATGGAATTAATAAATAATTGCATACTATCCATGGACGACCAGCTGTTGGTAAATTGTCATTTACGTATTCTTCTAAAAGAATAATATCCAATGGTTGTTTACTCACACTTCCTTCTTTTACGTTTCTCTGCATCATCAACTGGTGAGTACATTCGTCTTCAAATCCGAAATCTGAAATTGCATATTCCTTCGAAACAAGGGTGCAACCATCTTTGATCAGCCGCCTCAACAGTTTGAACTCCACATCAAGATTCTAATAAAATAAATAAATATAAATTACATACATTAAGCATGTAAGGAAATGTAACGAAGTTTACTAACCACAGTACTCATATCTTGAGTTGTATCCATTAGAGCTTTCAATGTGTCTCTTTTGTACACAGATTGTCAGTTCCATCATCCCAATATGTTCTGCATAATGTAATTGAGTTTTAAATAAATAAACATAAAATTATAATATTCAAGTTAATTAGATTGGTTAGCTGGATGGATTCGTTAACACACAATCTCTAATTATTGTGTATCTATCCATAGAATAGTCTTCTAACGGATAATCGGTCTTTGAAGACTGTATATTTTTTCCTTTACCTTTTCTTTCTTTTCTCAACCTTTGAATATCTTCAATCTGTTGAGATGTCGATGTATCATTTGGAACTGGAGTCCTATGGATAGGAACATCATATTGGAGGGAAGCTATAACAACTTCCATGTTTGATTTTCAGTCTGATAATTTGTTGAACATGTTGCTATTTTGTTCATTGATATAACATCTCACTGAAGTCAAACTGGTATCCAAGTAATTTTGCATGCTATATTGCATATCTTGGTAGTGTTATTGTTGCCATTGATGAAAGATGTCTTGTTGCCACTTGTGCTGTTGTTCAAATAATTCTTTTTGGTTGTCAAGAATTGCTTGGTAGTGGCTTTCTTGTTGCCTCTTTGATTCCTCAACAATATTTGTTTTCAAGCTGTTGCAAAAACTTGATACATCTGATACCACACGCTGCCTGTATATATCAAGCATCTTCTCTATTTCTTCTCTAATCACATAATTAGAACCAATAGAAGTAGAACTTGGGCCAGCTCCAACTGAATTATATGTCACGGGATCAGGCATGTTGTCAATGTTACCTAGGACTACATTGTTGATTTATCCACTCACAATGCCATCTAGTAGATTATGTCGTGCATCACCTGGCATTGAAAGAGTTGTATACCACATTGTCTGTAACTTTTCCTCAGTAGGCTCTAAGACTGCAATCACTTGAATCTGTAATGAAATGATTTTAAATGATTTGTTGTGACTTTTGTTTGGAAAAGGATAAAGAAATATAATTAGATGCATGTAATAAAGAGATATAATTAAATAATTAAACCACATCTTTGCTAGCCAAAAATTGCTTAACTTTTTTCTCTGTAAAAAATTTATTCGGCTTCTACCTATGCATTCTTGGACTCTATAATGTTTTGTATCTACGGCGTCCAAATTCTTGTCCAATCTGTGGAAAAGTTTCGTATATCCAATGCTGAAACATAATTGAATTTAAATATTATATGCAAGTAAAATAAATGATATATAAACTACATCTCCATCGATGAAAAATAAAAGAATTGAATAAAATACCTACTTACGTTCACCTCTAGGTACATTAGAATATTTACATTCATTTTGCTGATTTTGTTGCAGTCTATAAACTCTCTCCGCTTGGGATTCTCGCAATGAGTTTAATAAGATAAAATATGATGTACGACCCCATGGATATGCAAGAAATTCATTAAGCTGCTCAACCATGCATTGATTTTTGTAATCAATATATCTTCCGGTAGGTTTCGAAACACACTCCACCAACATAACCAACCCAAGTTTAAATTTATTTTCTTGATGTTGACAAAGATGAAATGACTCAGAAAGCATAGTCATACTAATTCTCCTCATACCATTAAAATATTGATTTCTAAGTCGATGATTAAGTCAAGATTAACGGATATCTTGTGGCAAGATAATCCGGTGATAAGACAAAACTCTTGCAGACTAAAGCGGGCCAAATGGTTATCTAATTTCACCCAAATTTCATTGTTTTTACAACAATCTACAAGTCTCATTATGAATTCATGAACTAATTTACTACTAAATTGTCGTTCTTCCTCTGCTCTATAAATCACTCCATATATAAATCCATTAAATTACTACACAATAAAGATGTTTGTTGATCTGCGTCGATCAGCTCTACAAAATCTTTAAGATACATATAATTTGGATATTGAGTGATTGCAGCAGAAAACCAGTGATTCGAAGATAGTATATATTCCAAAGATATCAAATTATTAAAAAAACACCATTTAATAGAAAAATAAATTTGAATTTAAAATAGACTTTTTTAATAGAATGTATTTTTCGGGATGGGATGTGGATCGGGTGTCTTCGTAGAGACACCCCGAGGAGACATGGACGTGTGTCTCCGCGAGAGACACGGGAGACCTTGTGTCTCCGGGAGACACAGGGATCTCCGTGTCTCCCCGTGGAGACACGGAGGAGACCTCGGCTCTCCGTGTCTCAGGATCTCAGTGTCTCCCGTGGGGACGCGGAGATCCATGTCTCTGTGGGTGCGGGGAGACCAGATCTGGTCTCCGCGCACTCATAGAGACCTTTTCTCTCCTACGTGTAGATTTCTCAGGAAGAAAACTCACCTTTTGGTAGTGAAATTAGTGAAGATGATAAAGTTTCTCTTTCATTCTTGAGTGAAATGTGTGTAAGCAAAGTTAGAATATGTATTTGTAATAATATGTATATACACCCAAAATAATTCCTCATTCATCATTGGAAAAAAACACAATCTTTTTCTCTTCCATTTTACTTTTCAATTTCAAATATTATATTATTTTTATGAAGTAGACGAGCATTTAATGGAATGAGTATCTTTAAAACAACCATTTTATTTATAATCTTCCTCAGTACCAATACACTGCTATTTCTTGAAATATCTTGCAACCTGCAACCCGAATCAACACAAATCTTTGCACTTCTCATTATTTCATATCCACTTATTAAACTGAATCCACATTAACTCATAGAAACAAAATAAAATAGTTTCAATTACAAGCATGTTCATAAGAGATCGGAGATAAAACTCAATTCTAATAAAAATCTTAACGTGGAACGTAGCCACCACTATTTTTGTTTTTGTTACTGAGCATACATAATCAACCTTCAATCCTTTTTTTTAAACGATAAAAAATGAATTATATATATACATTAAACATCCAATACAAATATTCTTCAATTCTTAGTTCTAGCTGGCACATCTCTTACAACCAACACAGTCTTTGGTCCTGTGTGAGTTTCGGGCAGGAATTATTTGCAGATGAAGAACCAAGATAAAATTAAATTCTTGAAAATACTAAATACAAGGACGACCGAGAAAAAAATATGGAAATACATGTAATGTATAAAATTGGAGGACTGAAGGTGTGAAGATTTGGGAAATGAACAGTAACATCTCATTGGATTACTGTTGCATCTACAGTAACTCAAAACTGACTTTTTTATTATAATAGGATATGTTGGATTAAGATCCATTATTATTATTATTATTATTATTATTATTATTATTATTATTATTATTATTATCATCCAGGTATGGCTACAGATCCAAACAGAATTGTGTTGCTCCACAATGGAGACTTTAACGAAATTGTGGTAGAATGAGGACATCAATTCTTGTTCAAACTTTTTTACAATATATTATTACCTTTAGTATTCTATTAACCATCATATCTCGTCCTTGACAATGGTTACTATAAAATATTATATTTTCGTACATTTTTATAGTCTTTTTTAAAAATACGATGGGTAATTAAACCATTTTACTTCCCTCCAATGAATTTTTTGAATAAAAATTGTTATCAAATATGAAGTGTACTAATTAATGGAATGTTGGGATTAAGAATGCGTTGTAAAAAAGAGAAGGATATGAGCAGGGCGTAGAAAAGGGGGGCAAGTCTGAGCTATCAGGTCCAATAATTTTTTACGGGGATTTTTTTTTATGAAAATTCTATTTTTTTTAATGATTTTTTTTTCTCCGCCCCTAATCATATAAGTGCTACAAAGATTAAAATTGAGAACCTTAAGTTCCTTAAAATGTATTGTAGTTAACAAAATCGTGGTGTGAATATAATTATCCTAACGATATATGTAAAATCGTCCTCTCTAGGAATAAAAGCGCTATCAAAATGAAATGTTGACTCAAATGCTACTATTTGAAGGATGGAGGCCAAAGTGCAAACATATCCAATGTTAGGGGATCTCTGGTGCTATTTTTCCTTATTAAGCGATTATGAAAAGCATTATTTTTTGAACTTCCCACTGTCCCTCTGGTGCTGCAATGGCGCTTCCTTCAGCATTCCATGAAAGGCTGGAACAGATGGAGCAGACGAGAAATCAACGCCTCTCTCTCCTTCAGGTTTGGTTCACTCCTTTCCCTTTATACTTTGTTTTAATTTGAAAATCTTCTGCTATTGATTCAATTTCAAATTTTGCAAATTTTGTACAGGCAGAGAAAGAGCTTCAGAAGAGTAAATCTCAGTTATTAGCTACAAAGATAGCAAACATAAGATCAATGGAACAGCGCTGCCTAAAACTCGACTGTAAAATCGCTCACCAACACTTCGTCATTTCTTCTCTCAAGTCTCAAATCGAAAGCCTTGATTCTGCTTACCTTCGTAATCTCCAGAAATTTAGGTAAACGATTGTTACTATACATTTAATTTATAATTTAATTGTTTTTTTAGGATTTCTAGTTTTGTTGTTTATCCTGAAATGATTATTATATGATTTTGTGTTTATTTGCCTTGGGGCCTTGAGGAATGTGGGCTTTTGTTCAGATGACACCCAAATTATATGTTGATAACCGAATGTACCTTTGGCTTCTCCATTTTGGTTAGCAAGAATCTGCCAAAATATTGTTTACTAGCGATGTCTTGAATAGTAGTGTGAGGGATGCCTTGAGGCACACCTCACTTGAGGTTTCCATTGATCATCTCGAAGTTTGCCATTGGTCAAGGCTTATGCCTCTATTGAGACTTGCTTCAATGCTAAGCCTCAATGCAGCTGAGAGGGGTGCTTGTTTATCTTCTCATTTTTTGTTATGAGCAATTCTTTGTAATTCTACAGTTTTTAAATTAATTTCAGTAGTTTGTTTGGATGGGTACGCCCCTCACTTCATACAGTAAAAATGTCTTAGTACCAGACTAAACCTTTTTAAACGCAGGTTAGTAGAAAGGTTTATGCACTGTCTTCAAGAGTAATATAAATATCTATCTCCACAATTCATATACTTGTGAGATAATTGCTTTGCTTTGCTAGGTGATGCTGTTAAGTTCTTTATTTTAGGACTTTGAAAGAAGAGGTGGAAGGGTTGGAGGAGTTGGAAAAACAGAAAGAGAGCTATTATAGCTCACAAAGTTGTGAAATGGAAGAGTTCAAGGCCCAAGTGGACAACTTTGTGGATGAATGTCAAGTCCAAGTAAAGAAACTGAGGCGCCAGGTTAAAGAGGTAAGGGAAACTGACCATTATTTTCATTCATTTGTTTTAAAATATGAAGCAAAATCTGTAAATTCATCTTGAATGAGTCATTTCGTAGTGAAATATATATACCCATTATCGATAAGAGTTGTGGTTAATGTGGTGAAACCAAGACCTATTCCTACTTAGCTTGACAAAATTGCATATTGAAACTCAGAGGTTCAATGATGTCAGTATGATGTAGCTTGTTCTATTAGATTTTTATTAACTCCTTAAGAATTCTATTTTGTCAACTTATAACATTTTCGCTTGTCCAATAATAAAATTATAGGTAAGTCCTTTTTGCTAAGGCACCTTCGCTGAGGCCCTTTAGCTGGACCTTTCAATTCATGCCACAACATTAAACACTCCCTTGATCTTCATAAAAGGAGAGAAGCAAAGTCCTGTAATGCAAACTATAAGAAATTTATTGAATGCTCGCCTATCATTTTTGATGCTTGCTTGATTCTTGTTTCAGCTCAAGTCCAGTTTCTCAGAACTTCAAGGCAACCTTATCTGTCCAAATAATTCTGAGATAGCAGCGGCTGAAAATAAAAAATCTGAACTTCTTATTATGAAAGAGAATTTGGATAGAAAGTTGGCTTCTAATTATGAAGTAAAACAACAGTTGATGAAGCAACTTGTCAGCATACTAGAAGACCAAGTTAAAGAAAGGAAGAGGTTATGTTAGTATGCTAAAAATAAATTGTTTATAGCAGCAGACATTGCAAAGCTACATGCATGTATAGAAAATAGTCATCAATATATTTTGCTTAACGAGACATCTGATTAGTGAACAATTTAATTCCATTGACATTTTACTTTGATAATTTTTTTCCATGTACTTGTGATCAACATAACAATCTCTTGTTCAACCTTGAGGATCCAAAATTTACAATCCTGGTTTCCTGCAAGTTGTTGAGCTATTTGAGAAAGGCCACATGCCTATACAATCCCTGCTGCACATTATTCAGTATGTACATATACCAGGTGCCCTAAAGAAATTGTGTCTTGTACAGTACTCATGCTATGTGTCCAAAATACTCTCTCATCATATACTTTCATGTTATTGGAACTGCTAAAATTCGACATAGGAGCATGCTGGAATGATATTTATCATCCTAGTGAATGGATTTTTCACAATATTATGTAGAATAGATACTTGTCGAACTTGAATTGGCATCATTCCTGGACTCAACTATTGACATTGCTAAGTTTACACAAGTTAGTTACGAATATCTGTTAGAGCTCAGTGTTTATATTATTACAATAGATCTTCGACACGCTTTTGGAAACTTGCACATCCACTGTTCGACCAATGAAGTTATTCTGTTCATGAATATGTTACATGTTACTTAGCTTCAGGGATGACCATATACATCTAGGATATTCTCCAAGTGCATATAATGGGACAATGTTTTTGTATTGTTCCTAATAGTTTTCCCTTGTAAATTAGGGAACACAAAAGTATTGTATATCTATAGACTAGGGATAATCCATTTTTATCTTTCAAAAAATGATTATCTAGGTGTAATAAGTATTTTGAAAAAAAAAAAATTATTCCTAATTATAATTTGGCAAACAAAGAAAATATTGATATATTTTGTCTTTGGAGCACAATTAAAATGTAAGGTCTTGTTAATCTATATGTATCCTTACACCAACAATCCAAAATTATAATGGGGTACAAAGATTTTATTCACAAGGTTTGGGCCCTAATTATTACTTGGCACAAACAAAATTCTTGATGTATTTATAACATTTCCAAGAGATTTTCTATTTTTCAAGAAATATTTAACAACTTAGTGATCATTTATAAATTTAGAAAGAAATTTTTTTTATGTACTTAAACAAGTTTTTTATATTTAACACTTAATTTTACTACTCCAAAAGAATATTGCTTTTTCTTATTTTTTATTTTTACTAACTTCCCTCCGAATTATTATATTATTTTCTTCCATTGAAATTTGAAATACTTTGAATGCATTTATAAACCCACTTTCTATTTTAAAATGTTAATTTCAAGAGCCTCTCGAAGTGTAATGCGAAGGGTTGACTCTCTAAAATAGGGAGATTCTTGTGTTTAAAGAGTTTTTTGAAGATGTTCTTACATTGTGTATACATACCAATATACATGAATATACATACACACGTGACAGTCGAATACTGTACAATTTATTTGAACCTTTATTTTTTTAGGACCGAACCAAACAAATGTCGGGTTCCCCAACCTTGTAATTAGTGTGATATATCTTTTAAAATGAAGTTTTAGATTTTCAACTTATTTAAATACATAATTTTGGATCACTACAAAATTGAATCTGCCAACGTGAAAGTTATCCACGTGACTTCAAGTTGGAAGGTAAAATCGTCAAACCAATTAACATTTGATATCAATTTAACTGAAAAGCTGCGATTTTATATTGAACTCAAATCCATTAATTTATAAAGTTTGGAGAGGCTAGACCTCTACTTTGAAGGTTGAGGACGAAATGCGAGAAAGACTCCAAATGGCGCTACTTTCCCATTCTACAGTGCAAAAACTATGATGTACCAAATTAATTTTCAAAAACGCTGCATAGACTCAAAAATTTTGGGGACCTAAATCTCTATTTTAAAGTGTTAGGTTTATATTTTGTATTGACAATTTTGTGATCAAATTGACCAACCTGAACACTTATAAAAGATTAGGGACTGAATTGTAAAGTTTCATAATTGATAGG